TGCAGTACAGGACAAAGGAAGGCTTTGACCGGCAGTCAGAACACTTAAAGCTGGAGGATTGTGATGACATTTTTATTTTTTTATTTTTTTTATTTTTTTTTAATATATTTTTATTGATTTCAGAGAGGAATGGAGAGGGAGAGAAACATAGAAACATCAATGATGAGAGAGAATCTTTGATGGGCTGCCTCCTGCATGCCTCCCACTGGGGATCAAGTCCACAACCTGGGAATGTGCCCTTGACCTAGAATCAAACCCAGGACCCTTCAGTCTGCAGGCCAACGCTCTATCCACTGAGCCAAACCAGCTAGGGCTCCTGATCGTTTATTTAAAGCTTCTCATAGAGAATCCTAATTGAGGGCTGTTCTTGCAAAGGGTGTGATGAGACAAGTGGAAATGAGTTCAGGGAGGATGAATTCAAAATCCTCAGTTGGAGCTTTCAAGGGACCGCCTGGTTTCTAGTGACTGGCGTGTGCTTACCAGGTTTTTCTCATCTATAAATGGGATAATAATGTGATGACATTTTTAAAAAGCAGTGATTCACCTATCAGGTTAAAATTTTAAAAGTGGTTATTTTATCAGGTTAAATTATCAAATGTTGCCAAGGATGCAAATTATTTATACATTGCTTGGTAGCAATAAGTAATGATACAGTCATTCTGGAAAAGTTTGATCATTTCATAAATATGAAACATGGGCATCTATTGCAAAGAAATGGAAATTAAAACTTACACAAAAACTTGTCCCAGAGTATTCACTGCAGCTTTACCCTTCGTTGCCAATCACTGGGAACAGCCAAGATGTCCTTCAATGAGCAAACAGTAAACAAACTCTGGTACCTCCAACACCATGGAATGCTACTCAGCAATAAAAAAAGAAAAACTATTGATATATGCAGCAACCTGGATGTATCTCAAGGGGATTATGCCAGTTTGAAAAAGTCTATTCCAAAAGGTTTCATATGTAATATATGATTCTATTCATATCCTTAATAATAAAGAGCTAATGTGCTAATTAGACTGAACAGTAGAATGACTGTCCGGACAACCATCTGGACAATTATCTGGACAAAGCCGGGCTGTCAGGGCTGGCCAAGGCTGCAAGAGGCTGCAGACATATTGCCAAAGGGTACCAGGTTGCCCAAAGTTAGGAACTGAGTGAGGGTGCAGTGAAGGCAGTGTGTGAGGAGGAAGACAGGCATAGTTATAAAAGACTGGGAGGGGTCCTTGTGGTGCTGGAACTGTTCTGTATAATGACTGTGGTGGTAGACACACAATCCTACAGAGTTGACAAAATTTCATAGAACTACATACACACACACACACACACACACACACACACACACCTGCAAACTGGTCAGATCTGAATCACATGAGTGGACTGTATCAGTGGTAATTTCCTCCTTGTGGTATCCTATTATAGTTTTGTACCCAGTGAGGGCAAATTGGTTGGAGGTACATGGATGTCTCTGCATTATTTCTTACAACTGGGTGTGAAGATGCAATTATGTCTAAGCAAAATGTTTAATTTTCTGAAAAATTAAGAAGTCTGGAAGAAACTAATTAAAGAACATATATGCATATATTCATAGCCCATGGGCACAGACAATAATGTGATGGGGTGGGAACTGGATGGATGGAGAGAGGAGGAGAATGGGGAACAGCTGTAATACTGTCAATTTTTTTAAGCACTGGTATATGATTTTTACTTTCCACAAGAAGATTTGAAATAGTTCTTTTTTGTGTTCAAGACTAGACAATACAACCTTTTCAGTGATAGCTAACAATTTTCCATTTATTAACTTGTAATCATCTCAATAATCCTATGAAGTTAGCAATAGCTTTACCCCCATTTTGCAAATAGGGAAACTGAGGCACAGGGATAGTAAATGACTTGTCATTTTCACATAACAGTTAGGGAAGCAATGAGCCCCCTCAGAATATCTGAGAGTTGTAAAGTCACAGGAAGGGAACCAGACACCTGTGTTGTTGTTTTTTAATCAGCCACCCTAACCACCAAGAGGCCTGGATGGCACACTCAGGACTGTCCTCATTTTGTATCCAAGTGTACCATTGGCAAATGATCTGTGATTTCTATTTTCTTTTTTTTAATGTGGTAAAAACACTTAACAGCCCTAGCTGGTTTTGCTCAGTGGATAGAGTATGGGCCCATAAATTGAAGGGTCTTGGGTTCAGTACCTTAGTTGCAGGCTCAATCCTGTCCTTAGTTGGGGTGCATGTGGGAGGCAACATATTAATCTGTCTCTCTTACATCTATGTTTCTCTCTCTCTCTCTGACTCTCCCCCTCCTTTCCATGCTCTCTGAAAATTAATGAGAAAATATCCTCAGGTGAAGATTAAGAACAACAAAAAATAATAACATAAATTTACTACCTTAACCATTTTAAGGTACAGCTCAATTATATTAAATACACTCACAATGTTGTACAATCATCATCACCATCCATCCCATCACTCTTGTAAAACTGAAACACTACCTATTAAGCAAAAGTGCTGGCAAAGGTCATTGTTCCTCTGCTGAGATCTCCCCTCTACCTAGAGCTTACTGACAGGCACCTTATCCAAGTCTCCATCAACTTGGCCCACTCTGTTCACCCTGCCCTGGTGATTCCCTGAGATTCCATCCCACTCAATTTGTAGCTCAAGCTGTTTGCAGTGGCTTTTCCGTATGAATGGCTTGTCCTGGCTCAGGCTTCAGACTTTACAAAAATTTCTCAAACAAGTAGTAGTTGGACTCACAGAGTGCACCATACCTCTCAATAAGTGGTCCCAGGCCCAGCACTAATAGCAACTTGCCAAGGTTCATAGCTTGGCCTCTCCTAGGCACTTCCAAGCCCAACACGAGTAGCAACCATCTGCAGATTGCTCTGTAGCTAGTGCCAGTTGGCCCCAAGTCAGGCACAGGCAGTGGATGACTTTTCACCTCCTGGGAGGCCCCAGAGCCAGTGCAACCCAGTGCACAGTTTTAGACCATGCCAAATTACAACTCTACCACATTCATGAATAACACACTCAAGGAGTGGACTCAATAAGCACCAAAGCCCCACTGAAGCAAATCCTGCTCCATAGGGGTGGCTCCTGCACAGCAGCTCTTTCACTGTAGTCACAGCTGGTCCCCACAGCCAATTGGCCTGGGGGTCAGTTCTTCCCAGTGACATCAGCAGCAATCAAGACTCTACTACAACAGGACACTGTATATAGTCCACACAGGAGCTCACCTAAAATGCCCAGCTCAGGTGACTGGGAAGGCTGAGTTAAAAGACACCTACTACATAAGGCCACTCTACCAAGTCCATGAGACATAGCCGCTCTACCTAATACATAGAAACAACCCTGGCTGGTTTGGCTGAGTGGATAGAGTGTTGGCCTGTGGACTGAAGGGTCCCAGGTTTAATTCCAGTCAAGGGCATATCCAGGGTTGCAGGCTTGATATGCAGTGGGATGCGTGCAGGAGTCAGCCAATCAATGATTCTCTCTCATCATATCTCTCTCTCTCTCTCTCTCTCTCTCTCTCTCTCTCTCTCTCTCTCTCTCTCTCTCTCTCTCTCTCTCTCTCTCTCTCCCTCTCTGAAATCAATAAAAATATTTTTTAAAAGAAACAAACACAGAGAAACAGCCAAAATGCAAAGAAATATGTCACAAATGAAAGAACAGAAGAAATCTTGAGAAAACTGAATGTAATAATTAATGTCGTTTTTAAACATTCGTTTAAAATCTTGCTTGGTGTTGACTTGTATTGACATAACCTTCAAACACGTGGTATCTACAGAACGTGTGAAGTGCAATTAACAAGTTTTGCTTGAAAAAGTTTGTGTTTGGTTTGGTTTTTGTTGCAAAACTAGGGCTAAGAAGATGGCGGATGAAGAGCATATTCGGCACTGCATGCTTTACGAGTTCCAATTAGGAAGAAAAGCAAGTGAGGCTGCAAAAAACATCTGTAGTGCTCTTGGTCAAGATGCAGTTAGCGCCAGAAAATGCCAGCGTTGGTTTGAGAAATTTCGCGAGGGAAATTTTTCGTTAGATGACAAGAGTGGTCGAGGCCATGTTTTTGATCAAGAAGCTCTTCAAGCTCTTTTGGTGCAAAATCCTCAAATTACCCAACAAGAGCTTGCGACAACTTTAAATTGTTCACAAAAAACAATTTCCAATCAATTGCGTGCACTTGGCAAAGTCCAAAAGTTTGGAAAATGGCTTCCTCATGAGTTGACCGACAACAACCGTAATCAAAGAGTCACAATTTGCAGTTCGCTCCTCTCTCGTCAAAACCGTTTGCGGTTTTAGAGCAAATTGTTACTGGAGATGAAGAATGGGTGCTGTATGTTAATTTGAAAAGGCGGCCTCAATGGTTGGACAAAAATGAGGCTCCGCAGCCCACGCCAAAACCTGACTTGCATGTGAAAAAAGTGATGTTGTGTGTTTGGTGGAATTTTAAAGGAATTCTTCATTATGAACTTTTACCATCTAACCAAACCATTACAAGTGCAGTGTATAGTGCCCAGTTGGAAAGGTTAGCCTAAGCTTTAAGAGAAAAAGAACCCGCGCTGATTAATCGGAAGGGCGTAATTCTTCACCACGATAACGCACGACTGCATACTGCAAGAATCACTGCTGAAAAACTGCGCCAGTTGGAATAGGAAGTTCTCCCTCAACCTGCATATTTTCCTGATATTGCCCCTTCTGATTACCATTTGTTTCGTTCTTTGCAAAACTTTCTTCTTGGAAAAAAATTTAATAATGAAGAATGCCTCAAAAATGCATTGACCGGATTTTTTGCATCAAAATCACAAGAATTTTACAACAGAGGGATTAAAATGCTTCCTGAGCATTGGGCACAAGTAGTAGAAAACAACGGCAACTATATTGTTGATTAAATTTTGTTGTATTGTTTAAATAAATTCGATTAAAAAAAAAAATATTAGAAAACGACATTAATTATTACTAGACCTAATAAATACTGAGTTCAAAAGAATGGTTATAAGGATGCTCAGGGAACTTAGTGAGAATCTCAAGGAAATTGGTGAGAACATCAACATAAAAAGGAATCCACCAGTCTGGAGGCCCAGTCCTGCCTTCCAGGTCAGCTGTGGGACCAGGCTCTCTGGCTCCATGTCTTGATTTCTATCACTCGCCAGGAGGTGGCAGCAGCTGAACAAAGAAGAGATACAGGGACAATTGTTATCACCCTGTATGTCTGCAAGTGGACCTGTGGGGCAGGAACCCAGGAAATGACGAAACTTCCTGCTAATTTAGATGTCAGGAGTATATGTTTTGGAAACTTAATAAAAAAAAATGCGTGGACATTTTCTTATTTTGGAGGACAGGCTTTTGAGTTTGGAATTACAGGTTTCCCTTGGTTGTCATGGTCATTGTCAGTCCTACCCACTTGGGACACTGACTGCAAATTCAGCACTCTGGTTCAGGATTGGTCTTGGGATGAGGCATGAATAGCCAGTCCCAGGGCCCCTCTGTATTCATACAGCCACAGAATGATGTGTGTCTCTCCTGGGAATAGAGCTCCTTCCTGGACAGCAGTACCCAGCCCCCTGATACCCTCCCCCCTTCCTACCCCTTGCCCAGCCCCATCTCAACCCTCAGAGCAGATTCTGAGCTGACTGCCCCAGGGACATTGTGTGGATCATTTACTCTCTTTGCTCTGCTCCTGTTGGCTACCTGGTGCTGTCCATGACCACGAAGGTTCCCTGAGGGGTGTGTGTGTGTGTGTGTGTGTGTGTGTGTGTGATGGGCCTCTGCACACATGTGAATTTCAAGGTAAGGGTATTTGAGAGCCATTTAACAACTATTTATTTTAAATGCAAGAATTCATGGTTAGCTCTTCCACATTTAATTAGCAAAGATTCATGTTGTAGATGAATTACTCTTCTCAACATCCTGCCTTCCCATGATACCGTGTTTCCCCGAAAATAAGACACCCTCCGAAAATAAGACCTACTTACAGGTTTCCTTCTGAGTGAAATATAAGGCATCTCCCTGAAAATAAGCCCCCCCCCCTTGGCTCTATCTCAGAATGCTATTGATAAACATGAGAGATTTGGTCCACTGATTCTGAAAGAAATGGAGTCACAAAAAATTCACCAGGAAATTCAGGAATTGGGTTGTTATGATGATGTTCCAGAAGATGATGACATAATTGTCATTGAATAAATGAGTAAATTCTTGATACTGTAGGATTCACAGTTTGCCTGGTTTGTGTTGACAACTACCGTACTACCATACCGTATACAGGTCATAAATTTCCTTTATTTTCATTTAACAATAAATGTGTACTGTATTCTTCTTCATGGAAAAATAAGACATCCCTGAAAATAAGACCTAGTGCATCTTTGGGAACAAAAATTAATATAAGACACTGTCTTATTTTCTGGTAGAATGATAGATTCACCCTTTTGCCTGCCCCTTGCAGCTCTTCCCACTACAGGATAGCATATCCCCACCCTAGCCCTGTTTGTCACAGGCATAGCTATAAGAACATGGGGCCCAGGCATCTCCATATCAAAAAGCATCTCAGGAAATTCTCAAGAACACAGCAAATTTGAGAAACATTTCCCTAAATTGTATAATTTACATGTCCCACTAGTAGGACGGATGTTGCCATGCTATGGATTACAGGAGTTTTGCAAGTATGTCCTCCTCATTCTAATCCATAAAACAAAACCACAATATCCAAGCAAATATGTAACCAACTGTGTAGAGGTACCTGGACACTCAGGAGATAAGAATGTAGGCTTAGCAACCACATGTAGGGAGTGACTCCTCCCCTGGACAGGGCTGACCTGAGTATTACCTGCCAGAACTTTCAGGCTAAGGTTCCCACTAGGTCATGCTTCTTGGAAGGATTCTCACTCCAACATGCAAAGCTGTTCTTATGGGACCAGTGGGATGTAAAGTCTGCTGGAAGGAGTAGATTCCAGCAGGGTTTGAAACATAGCGGACGACGTGGGCCAGCAACAAACTCCCAACAGTGTAGAAGAGCCCCTGAATCTTATCAGGCTCAGCCTGGATGAGCAAATGTCTGTGAAAATGAGAAATTGAGAGCTTTAAGGTAGATTATACGCTTAGATCAACATTTAAATATGATATTGGGAGATGTGGGAGAAACTGTGACTACTATAGAAATTGATGAAGAAATATATAAAGAGATATATAAGTCAACAAAATGGAATATTCCAATGCTTTTTGTCTGGGAAGATGGTGTTGTGCTAGTTGCCCCTTCACTGAGAGTTAGTTGAAACAAATAATATATCCTTTGTGGAAATTAGGAGACTTTATATGATTGCATAGTTAAAGGTAGAATATATTCAAAAGAGAAATCTGTGTAATTTTTGATATTTAGAAATAACCAAGGATTCTTCTGCTCCTGAAATAAATTTGCACATAACTCATAAATTCTTGAGCTAAATTACATTTTTATTTTTCTCCAACCCTTCCAATTAATGTGATCACCAAAACACATCCCTCTTTTTTTTAGGAGTTGATTTGCTCCAATGTTTTTTTCCTGAAAAAAACATTTTTTAATTCATATTAAATTTGATGTTTTCTTTTTTAAAATTCCCTGAAAATAAGAGAACTCATAAGGGCCTGAGAAAATATGCAAGAGACAACTTACCCCAAATGTAGTACTGGCCACACATGATCTTTGAAATCTCTCAAAGACAGGTAAGATAAGGCTTCAGAAGCAACCCAGTGAAACAGCCCCTTTACAAAGAAAAATGTTTGTCTAGGTGTGAAAAAGAAGGTCTCTTTTTCTATTTAGACATCCTAGTCCCTGAATTTTAGACTCAAAGCTATGAGTTTGGGATTTTGTGACCTTTATGGGCACTTCAAGCCTCCCATAGTCCTGACACCTGAGGAGATAGAGACCCCACCACAAGGAGCTATGTGAGGATATGGAATCTGTCCTTACCTTCTCAGAGCATGTGCCTGTAGTTCTCCAGCCTTGTGTCTCTATATAGGCCTCTATGAGAGGGTCCAGGAGCCACGTCTAGGGTCATGTCCTTGAAGACCACTGGTCCTAAAATTTTAGTCACATGCCTCACCCATCCATCATCAACACCATGTCACAGGATGAAGTTCACGTAGCACTGAGATTAGAGGAGGGATAGGAAACAGAGTTTGGAGAGTCCAAGGGCAAAATTTACAGCTTCTTATTCTCCTTCACTCCACACTGCCCATTCTCATCACTCTTTTTTTTTTTTTTTTTAAACCATCACCTCCCCTACTGTCAGGAGAGGCAGTGAGATTGTTGGAGACTTGCTTGGACCACATCCACATGCCCAAGCCCAATTTGTAGCCAGACTTCAAATTCCATGAGCTGACACAAGCTCTTTTGCTGCTTAACTCAGCTTGTGCTGGATTTGCTATTTGTAAACAAATGTAGGTGCTAAGTGACCCAGAAATTCATCGTCAGGACAGAACTCTAAAATGTGCAAAATTTGGGGTTAGCAGCTACACCTCCACCACAGGCTGAGAACGGGATGCCTTGTTGCGCAGCAGCAAATGCTCAGTTGCTGTTTGCTGTATCTGGGACTCTAGTGGTACTGATTCAATAACCATTCAGATGTGGCTGCAGTCAACTCCATAGATGTTTGACGCAGTGTGCATGTCTGTGAGGGAGTGTCCAAAAGTGTATTTGTTCCCTCTTAGGATGTGCACATGTGTAACAGTGCTATTGAACTGCCCTAAACACCCTCTATCAGTTTGGCCTTAACAATGCTTAGCACTGCCTGCGCCCAACTCCCCACCAAGTCTGGGTACTACCACCTTTCTCAATATTTTCCAAAACTTAGACCTCTACAAACCTTACTATGCAATCAATTTCTGTGTAACTCAGGGCCCCTTCTATAAACTTTCCTATAGCACTCATCATTTTATCATTATTTGTTCACATGAGTTAAAAAATTATTCTCTCACTTGTGAAAAGACGGTAAGGCACACCTATCCAGAGTGACTACTGCACTGGGAATTGCAACAGGGGTCAGAGATTGGGCTCAATCCCAAATCAACAAGGAAAAGTGGGGATTTACAGCCAAGGATCAGGGTGGGCCATCAGCAGAAGGGAAATTACCAGGAAGGTGGAGTAATTTTTGCTAAATGGACCTAACAGCATTCTTACTAGAGGCAGGCCAGCATGACCAGGTATTACCTGGAATGGTGAGGTCAGTTTTGGAGGCTGATTAGATATCAAGTGCAGGTGATTCTGGCAAAACTCACTTAGGGCAGTGGTTGGCAAACTCATTAGTCAACAGAGCCAAATATCAACAGTACAACAATTGAAATTTCTTTTGAGAGCCAAATTTTTTAAACTTAAACTATATAGGTAGGTACAATGTTATTAACTTAATTTGGATACTCCTAAACTGGCCTTTGCTAAAAACTCAAGGGGCCAAAGAGCCGCATGTAGCTCGCAAGCCGCAGTTTGCTGACCACTGACTTAGGGTATTCTTGCAAATCTGGACTCTGCAAGAATAGAGATGGAAACTCAAGGTCAGGCCTAGACTAGCAGAGGGCTCAGAGGATCCTAAATAAGTCTGGCCAAAGAGAGGATCTTAGTTCTGTGTTTCCCTCCATTCTGTACCATTCATCTCCAAACCATGGTCATGAATTGATACATTAATATAAATTTATAAAGGACATATGAGGATGATAAAAGAGATATTTTATAATTTATCAGAACGCTATGCCAATATTGTTTAAATTTTAGGTTAAATGAATACCGTGTTTCCCCGAAAATAAGACATCCTCCGAAAATAAGACCTACTTATAGGTTTCCTTCTGAGTTAAATATAAGGCATCCCCCAAAAAATAAGCCCCCCCCCCCCCAGGCTAAACATGAGAGATTTGGTCCACTGATTCTGAAAGAAATAGAGTCACAAGAAATTCACCAGGAAATTCAGGAATTGGATTGTTATGATGATGTTCCAGAATATGATGACATGGTTGTCATTGAATAAATGAGTAAATTCTCAGTTGGTCCGAAGGTTGTGGGTTATTGTTAAGCTGAATAAATGAGTAAATTCTTGATACTGTAGGATTCACAGTTTGTCTGGTTTGTGTTGACAACTACCGTACTACCATACCGTATACAGGTCATAAATTTCCTTTATTTCATTTAACAATAAATGTGTACCATATTCTTCTTCATGGAGAAATAAGACATCCCCTGAAAATAAGACCTAGCGCATCTTTGGGAACAAAAATTAATATAAGACACTGTCTTATTTTTGGGGAAACAGGATAATCAGCTACATAAATGTCCATCACTAAAACTGACTCAAGAAAAAAAATGAATAATATGAATACAGCATTAACTGTTAAAGAAATTAAAGGGAGAGCTAGTACTGTCCCTCTGCCAACTCAACAATGCCAGGCCCTGGGATCTTCATGGTGAGTTCTAACAGATCTTCAAGTTAAAGATCATCCTCAACAAACTCTCTCAGAGAATTCAAAAGTTTAAAAAGACAATATTGTGAAACACCAGTCAGAAAGAATATATGGCCCAGACCAGCAGAGGCAGCAGCTGGAGCAGCTGCAGCCTCCACTGCCCTCCTCAAGTCCCGGGGTCTCTTTCCCACTTCCTCCTCCACCAGCAAGCAGTTCTCAACCTGTGGGTTGTGACCCCTTTGGGGGTCAAATGACCCTTTCACAGGTGTCACCTAAGACCATCAGAAAACACAAATATTTACATTATGATTCATAACAGTAGCAAAATTACAGTTATGAAGTAACAATGAAAATAATTTTATGGCTGGGGGTCATCACAACATGAGGAACTGTATTAAAGGGTTGTCGCATTAGTAAGTTGAGAACCACTGTCACCCACCTTCCTCCTCCACCCGCCCTTGCGGATCCCAGCCTGGTACTATTTCTATGTTCCCCCAGGATTAAATTATGTTTCTTAAAAAAGACAATGTCATGGAATTGGTGGTGGAGGATATGACTGGGAAAGATAAGCATGTATCTCCCTGAACAGATCATGAAATCTCTGGAGAACCACTGGCTGTCCATGTGGTGTTTCAAAAGATGTGCAAGTTTCTGTTGAGGACGACCCTTATTTTCATCCTGGGTGGTCCTGCTCCAGTTGTACACAGTCTGATTGCAGAGAAATCTTTCATAAATGTCCTGGATGGCTTCCAAAAGAAAAAGTTTCCTAAACCGGCTGTTGTGGTTGTGGTTTAATTACCCCCATAGTATAGGCACTCTGACACCAAAGGAAAGGTTACAAAAGTAATAATAAACAAGTGAAGCTACAGCAAACTAAAAGGCTCTTGCACAGCAAAGGAAACCATAAAATATATAGACACATGGAGCCATTTTTAATTGGGCCAGAGCTGCCATTTCAGGTAAGCTGCCTTGCATATCTTATGCCTTAAATTTTGGCTAAAACAGGGTAAAGTAACCTTTGAACTGGGTCTAAAGCAACGTTGTGACCAGAAAAACTATTTATGAATATGGCAAGAAAGCAAATATTATGACTACCAGAAAGGTAAATGCCATACTGACAATTAAAAACATTCTTAGAATGAGTATCACTATGTTCACCTATCTGCACCAATAGAAATGCATTTCCTCTCTTGATATTAGTGTTCCCTTTCCTTTCTTCTAAATAAACACTCTTTGTGCTTCTGCCGGAATCAGTGCTTTTTAAATAGCTATTCTCATGTTTAATTTCAAATAAATGCTTATTGCCTCTCACTTTGGCCTTTTATTTTTAGTTTAACATACTACAATAGTATCTGGCTCAGGAATCGGGATCTAAAGTGGCCTCCCTGTCCTGGGCCAGCGTGCCCTGGAATGAGATATGGTACCTACGGAGCCTTTTGTGTACGCAGCACTTCCAGGGGCTGCTGTCTCCCTGACTGTGCATCGCTCCTAGGGAAGGGTCTCCTTCCTTTCTTGGTTGAGGTCAAATGTCTTTATTTGAGGCTGGGAGGGTTTCCCTCAGGGGATGATGGTCCAGGTGGTGGCATGGGGTGAGATCCGCAGGAGCTTGTACCACAGGGGAAAGAATATTTTCTATCTCGGGAGGGATTGGTCACAGCTCTCGCATTTCTACCAAGTGCCCTGTAGCAGCTCGCAAGGGTTTTCCTGATGGTGAGTATTTATTTGGTTGTGTGCTGTTTTGTTTCCATTTCTTGTCCTAAGAAAGAGATTTCGTAAGAAGAGGAATCCAAACCTCTCCTGACGAAGGAATACATTTATTGGTTGATAAGCAGAAGCTTTTAGAAAACAA